GATCCTTATACAGCGCTTCCCTATACACGTCGAACTCCCGCAGGCACAAAGAAATTACGGAGGCTATCACTTATCACCTGACCAAAGATATGGCTCCCATCAACACTGTGCAAAACGAGGGATTTAGGAAAATGATCAACACCCTAGACAAACGCTACGCAGTGCCATCCCGCAACTCTTTTTCTATTGTTGCACTACCTGCTCTATACACGCAGCGTCGAGCAACGGTGGAGACGGAATTTCAAGCAGTACATTTTGTGGCAACCACAAAATGTGAGACATTTGTTGTTTTTATGTTTATTGTTTTTATGTTCAGTCTCAACTGTTACGAAGTTGATGTGCAGTTAATAAGCGCAATAAATATTTATACTGGAAAAGAAAATCGTGAGGGAATCGTGATCTCAATTCTAAGCAAAAAAATCGTGATTCTCATTTTATGCAAAATCGTGCAGCCCTAGTGTACACAATAGCCATATAGTGCATTGTGCAGAAAGAGGAAGTTAAAGGAAAGCATGAACATTTGATAACCACACCGTTCAGCCCAGCACACCTACTCCTGAACAAATACGAATAGTTTGTGTTACTGCATGCGACTGACCTTCTTACCCAAACTGTTAGATGGTATCAGTGGTATGCCAAGCAAACACAGCTGAACATGTGGAATGTCTGTCCAAACTGCAACCACCTCCAGTATGGCCTCTAGGGCTAAATGAGTGCCAACGCAGTGTTTTCTTTGTCATCTATGGTTGCTGTGACTATACACCTAACTATAACCATATCCTTTAATGAAAAGATGTGGCTTTCATTTGCATTCTTCTGTTTTTATGTATACATTTGTTATTAACATGGGCCACACCAGTGTAGACAGTAGGTTGTGTTGGATAAGTAACATTCAAATTATTTCTTTTAACCTCCAGAGACCCTGTGTGTTCATAGGGACTCATTATATTTGAGCTTTCCTGCACTTTCCCCTTTTTTCTGCTCAGTACTTTAAGCACTGTTCAGTTCACTGTGTTATGCTGTTGAATAAACTCATTGTCCCTATATGGGGTGGCTCTAGCTCAAGAGGGAGAGCAGGTCATCTGCTAATCTGAAGGTTGGTGGTTCGATCACTGCTGCAAGGCAAATATCCTTTGGTGTGCAATATCCAGGTTTGATGGATGCATTCATTATTACATGAATAGGTGTAAATGGTTGAATTAGGAGCGTTGTATAATGTGCTCTGAGTGCTCAGACAAAAACTGCTATATCAGAACCAGTCCATTTACCATATGAAGACATGTTTTTCTTTGTAATTACTCTGTAACAAAGTGATCACTTCCCTTTTGAAGGCAAAGTTTAGTTTATATACTTATCAGTCCAACTAATCACAGCCAAAAAGAGTTACTTTGACTGAGTTACCCTGAGCTGCTCACTTATTTCCCAAAGGCTCACAGCTAGTGGATGGATTCACATATTTGATTTGGCACAGATATCTAAATTTACGCCGGATGCCCTTTCTGATGCAACCCACCTATTTATCCACATGGAGTAGCTTGTCACCGCCGGGCTACATTTGTGCCCAAATCTTTTGCATGCAAGACAAATGTGTTAACCACTATCTAGGAGAAATTAAAAATGTACCAGGAACAAGAGCTCGGGTCTCTGGAGGTCAAGAAACCAATGCAGAATTGTCTGTCTCGTAACCTGCCTGAAATCTTGTGAGCAGACTTCAGAGCGTCTGAATTTGTTAACTTGATGGCTCAAAATAAAATTTTGAGGACTGGTTCATTTATTGGAAAATGGAAATGAGGCTGTAACTTGGATAATGTGCCATTGGAGTTGGTAGCTGCATCATCAGGCACAGGAAGCTGTTGATATAAATAAAGTTTATACTTATGATCTGGAGAAAGCAGTATCACTTCCAGATGTATCCATAACTCCCAGATGATTTCCGCCATGGTTATTGTTGCCTGTATTATATGGCAGCTGCTGCCTCTTTTCAAATCCATCCTCAGAGATGGCAGGATGTTATGTCTTTGCTTGTCGTCATAGTAACCTCTGTCCCTCTGATGTCAAACAGGAGAAGCACGTACAACCATCTCAGCAGCTGGCTGACTGATGCCAGAAACCTCACCAACCCCAATACTGTGAGTACACGCACTGAAATTAATGATTGTCTTAAGCTGCACACGTGTCTCCACAGCCTCGTCTCTGCACTCTCTTTCTGCATTGATTTCTCTTCTTTTAATTGCTTTAAGTTGTCGCTATGCTGTTTATCCCTTTGTCATCCCCCTGTTAGTCTTTTTGGAGCCACTCAGCCCTGTCCATTTCTTAAATAGGTTTTTCTTGGTAAATATGATTAGCTCTAAACCTTCCTGCTCTCACTCTCAGAGGTCTGTGTTCCATCAGGGAAGTGTGTTTGTGCAACATGACACTTCCTGTTCACATTTTAGATGGCAGAAAGCAAAAAGGGATGTTTCTGTATATCCAGTCACAACTATACACAGGCTTTGTATGGAGCTGTGTTATCCACTGCTCATTTTAATGACGAGTACAAGTAAACTTTACTAAGCTAATATGAACAGTATTAAGTTTTTGGTTTCTTTCTGGCACAGTCCACTTTAACAGAATCTGAACACTTTGAAGTTGTTAAATCTGGGACTTTTACTATGAAGTGAATCCATCAAGCTACACCAATATTATTAATCCTGCTAAACATTTACACAAAGGTGGTTATCAACTTAAAGTCAACATAGACTTTTACCTAGTTTAGTTGTGAACACAAACACAGAGGCAGTGTTGGCAGCATGTGATCAGTCACAAACACAGAGGTTTACTGGTATCAGAGCTGAATTATTTTACTAACAGAGAGCAAACTGTAATGTTAGATAAATCTGAAGAAGTTAAACACATGATGCTCAATGTTCTGAGCAGAGCTTCTGCAGCCAGTGTGTGAAAGAATACAGTATGAATAGGAGTATTAAAGTGCCATACAGCACTGCAGTTAGTGACAGTGTGCTACATAACTTATTTAAAGCCAGCATGGAAATTGCCCCCCAAAATTTTTTAGTTACATACGTTTGAGTAATCCCCCATCTTTAACTCATCGGAACATCTGACAGTATTTATAATTAAATTCAGTGTGACTAGGCTCTTTTAGAGCCAGTGTGAAAGAAGATGGCAAGTAAAGAAGAAATAAAATCCTATAAATCAATAATAATTATTATTCATAATTAATTTTATATGCAATCAACAAGTTGAAGGGTTAGGGGTGATATTGCTATACTAATACATGTTTAAAAAAAAAAAATTAAGAGTTTCTTGCATGTGTAACATTGCTTGCAGCCATCCATTTTTTTTATTTTTTTTTATTTATTTTGATGCTTGTCACAAAGAGACAAAATCTTTAGACGGTCCCTAAGAAAAAAACAACCCAAAAACCCACTTTCTTACAAAGATCCACCAGATCTTCTAGGAATTATAATGTTGTTGTTTTTTTCAGAGGACTGATTGGTGAGCGGGCGCTGATTTCTGTACAACTTGATCTCTTATCTAATATAAACTTCAGCATAAGTTACCATGGTGATGTATCCTGGGAAGTGACCCCACTTCTAAACACTAAAAAGACTGGAGATAACAGAATGTGCTTCACAGAAAAGGCCTCAGGTTGAGGGAAAGAAATCAAAGAATTTGTTTTCATGTCCCTAAACAGTATATACAGCTATCCTTAATATATTTATAACAGATTAGAATAATTTTGATCAGTCTAATAGGTTAAATGTGTTTCATCTGAGCTGTAAAGATGAGGATTCTTCTAAACTTGTGTTAATGTTGTGAAACGGGCAGATCTGACTCCACTGACACGTGGTTTCTGATTTTGTTTGCATGCATACCAGAGAGGAGAGCGTCAAATCACAAATGAGTGTTCAGTGCACATAGCACTGTGGGCAGTGATGACTGTACATCTTCCAAAAGCAAAAGCCAAAACTACGCTGAGCTGTGAAATAGAACTGCTGTTTGCCAATTTTAAATACTTTAGCACAAAGTGGTGGCACTGTTGGTGTTGTCACAGGATCTGCCCCAACTCCCAACATCTGCCTGCCTTGGTTTTAGACGATATAATTGACGCGAGACAAAATACTTTACAACTCCACAACTTTATTAGTGCAAAAAACCCGCCATCAATGTATTTTCACTTAAAGTTCTACACACACAGTACGGTAATATTATGTTGAAGCACCGTACGTATCACTCGGCGAGGCTCCTGCCTACGATAGCCTTAATGCTCCGACAATCCATCAAGCGGTGCGGCTTCGTAGCTTACGAAAGTCGTATTAAAACATTTTTTTGACAGATTGTTGAGCGCCGTGTACCACATAAAATTGGTTTGGCACAACCAGAATTCATACATAAGGTGCACCGAATTATAAGGGGCACTGCTGATTTTTCAGAAAATCAAAGGATTGGTTTTAAGTGTGCCTTGTTTTCCGAAAAACACGGTAATAACGACGGCCCGCTAGCATGCTCCACCAAAAATTGTGCTTTGGTGTGTATCTGACGGACGAAACCCAAACTAGTTCATAACCACTGAAGTTGCAGCATTTTTACAAACCAATTGTGGTTCAGCTGTTTCATTCAACGATCCGCTTTTCCCTCCCACGTGTGTATGAAAACAAAGGCACTGCGCATGCGCATTTTAGCCATATTGTATCGCGATATTTCATTTTCTTATCATTGCCTAATATTGCCGGTATTAGCCCTAGTGCTGAACAATTCTGCAGTAAAAGCAAAAGAAATTGGCATGTAAAAGGTGGTGTACAGCAGTTTTGGTTTAGTCATTTTGTCACTCTTTTAGAAAGAAGTTCAGTAAATCTCTAATTACATCGCAGTTGCTAAGGATCCTGTTGAGCACACGTTCTCTCAATCAATATCTTAAAATTAGCTCAGCAACGTAGTGGAGTCTTCCTGGATTGCCCTTGGCTTTATTATCTCTCAAAGGATTAGACAGCAAATTTCTCCCAGACAAAGTGTCCAGGGGATCGTCTCACACTCTCTTCCCTTGTGTTTATCATTAGGTGATCATTCTCATAGGAAATAAAGCCGACTTGGAGGCCCAGAGGGATGTTACGTATGAGGAAGCGAAGCAGTTTGCCGAGGAGAACGGTGAGCGAGACGTCAACCGGTGCATGCTGGGAGGTTAAGGTGGAAAAGGGTTTCAGTGGGAGGCAATTCTGCCCATTTACATCTGTCTAAGAATAACTTTCAACAGGATAATATTCACGGGATTCTTAACAAAATGTCCACAAATATTGACACTAAAATGAGTTTTCTGTGATCTGTCTCTAAGATGGTTTTGATTTGAACTCTATTTTAAAAAAAAAAAAGGAGGGGGGGTGGGGGGGCAAAGCCAAGATTAACATCTTTCTGTTTACTTTGGTGGGACAGTAAATTCTAGGAGAAATGGAGCAATATTAATTAAAAGAGGGGGTGAATGATGACTTGGTATTTGAGGTATGCACACTTGGCGCTGTGTTTTAGTGACTCAGTCATTGTGTCTGTTTTATGTTGAACAGGTTTGTTGTTCTTGGAAGCCAGCGCAAAAACGTAAGTCTGCACAACTTCAGCTTTCCAGTTCCTGCAGAACAAGATCCGATCAGCCGTCTTCTGTGTAGCTCACATTTGTGTGTATGCCCTGTCTGTTCAGAGGTGAAAACGTTGAGGACGCCTTCCTGGAAGCTGCTAAGAAGATCTACCAGAATATCCAAGATGGCAGCCTGGACCTGAATGCTGCCGAGTCGGGGGTTCAGCACAAGCCCTCGGCCCCTCAGGGCGGCCGGATAACAAACGAACCACAGCCCCAGAGGGAAGGCTGCGGCTGCTAATGACCAAGCAAAAAGCCCCTTTGCCCCATTTCTCCCACTGTCTGTCTGTCCCACCCCCCACCCCCTTTCCTGTCCTGCCAATCCCCTCCATTCCATCCACCACCTCCGTGCATTCACACCCCATCCCACTGCACCAGGTGCTGCGTGAGAGCAGGGCTGCGGAGGGAAGGAACAGAGGGGGGTGAATATCGACTTGGGCCAGGCTGAGCTGGGCTTTGTGGACTACATCTCCCCCTTCTCCTCCTCCTCTTCCTCCTCCTCTTTAGTCTCGATCAGTGTATTGTCATCCGATAACTCTTCTTCTTCCACCCCCCCACAAACCTCTCACACCATTCAGCCTAGTTCCCTCCATCATAGTATCATAGAATCCACCACACATTACACAGGTCACTGACACTTTAGATAGATGTAATGTTCATACGATAATGATAAAGCAAGACTGTTTTTTTTATGTTGGATTTTATAGCTATATGCGAAATGTAAACACTGCGTTAAGTTTCATCCACCACCAATCAGTTGGAACTAAATTATATTCCCAGAGTCCGCCTCCCCTGCATGGGTTACATTTCCTGTATTTTATCAGCACACGCAAATGTGATATCTCACTCGTGCTTATTTGCTTGGGAGCAGAACGCAATGGTGATGAAGTCATGTATCAAGCAGCCACACGGGTAGACGCTCTTAAGCACACGTCCAGGAATGTGTAGTTGAGGGAGCTTTTTCCAGCGGTCTCGATTCAAACCTGCCTGTGTCTTTTAAATTCTGCTTTCTCTGCTTTGGCACAGTCCTTTGCCAGATGTGGCAATGCTGATATTCTCAGAAAGAACGAGGGGGGGGGGGTCTAGAAAACTAGGAATTACCCAGAAATTCTTTGTGGATTATTCCCCGGGCCTCTCCACTGAGTTATTACATGGAATATTGGGTGTTTTCCAGCTTGTCTGTGTTTGTATAGACTGAGCTAAAATGACACTTTAACAACAACAGCCACCCTGTGACTTTGTTTTTGTCACACAAAGATTTTTTTTATTTTGCACCAGCTCTTCTTCTTTATCTCCCATTTCACACCCAAACTCTCCCTCACGTCATGTATAACAAGATTGTCTTTACCAGCATTTTCTTTGTCATTGTTTGTTGCCTTATTATTATTAATGTTATTACTCTGGAATCTTTGTTTTGCTGCACTTGCTCTTCACACTGCTCTCTGAATTCAATTCGATTCAATAAATCAGCTCTTTTAGATTCATTGTCACATTTTACTGAAACAAATAACTGAAGTACTTGAGGTAGTCGACACGGTCACAGTATCTTAAATGGCCAAGTATTAGGAGCAAAGTCCCGACTGTTTAAGTGGAAAAATATACTCGTCCCTCCTGTATAATCAGCAAAGCCGCACTAAAGAGCCCATTTCTTCTGCCTCCTATAAAGCGACACCAAGCAGTGTGCCCCCCGAAACATGACAAAAGAAAAAAAAAAACTGTCTCCTTTTTCAAGTACGAATATTTGTACCATAGTGTTTCCCCGATTGGACAGCTGTATATATTGCTTCTTAACTACTGGTGATGACCTCGCTACTGTACTTTGAATTTAGAAATTTATTTGGTCGCTCTGCCAATTTCTGTACAGTTGGTGTGCTAGTGGGTTGCCTGTAATTCATGCTTGGGGAAAAATTCTGTAACATAGTTTCTATTAATAAATGTATGTAAAGGACAGATAACTAGACACCCTCCCCCATCACCCCGTCTGCACACTACTGAACCTGCCGATTGGTTGAGGGGTGAGGAAGCGGATTGAGATGATGCGCAAACTATTTATGTCTGCCTTGATTCTTATATCTGTAACGGAGCGGAGAGTGGGGCACTCTGTTTATATTCTGTTTTCTTTTTCCACCCCTTCATCGCTGTCTTAACTCTTTTGGGGAGTGGGGGATTGCTTTGTTATCGTGGGAAGTGGGCCGGCCGGGTCTTCCTTTTATTTTATTTTTTTTCCCTGTGTCCCCCCCACCTGTTCTGCAGTTTGAGTGACCACTTCCTGCTTTTGTCTAAGTACAAAAAGAAACGTACATATGTATAAATTTTTAAGGAGCTGTGCTAACATTTAAATGCGTTCTCTTGCGTGTATATGATTTTAAAATGTTGACATTTTGATTTTAATGAAAAAAATACTCTAGACAGAAAAAAATAAATTATACATAACCTGTTGCTGTGTCCTTTTTTTTTTTTTTAAACTGTGGCGGCAAATGAGAAGAGCACTTTTAATATCCTGTCTACTACAAGCAAAGAGCATCACACCGTTCCAGTTTGTGCTGGAGGTATCGTGTTAGCACAAGACACTGTCTGAAATTTTGCAGTGACAAGAAAAAGCTCTACCTAGATGTTATCATACTCTAACCATTTTAGGTGGGAGAGAAAAGTCAAATGGTTTCTGAAAGATCATTTCTTTCACTTCACAGCCAAAATGACCAAATAAGCCGTACACAAAATGTATTTCAAGTAGCACAACTGCTTTGTTTTTATTGCAACGAAAATTGCACCAAGGGGAGAAAAGGGAGGGGGGGCGACATTTACAAGTGAAAGTTTGTGTACAAAATTGGCGAGCAGGCTTGGACACAAAATTCGAGTAGTGGTATGGTTGGTACAGGAAGTTTTTCGTCCTTTTTTTTTTTGTTTTTTTTAAAAGAAGCCAACACTGACAGTACCATGTTGAAGTCAAGGCAACTAGCAGTTGATTTTTGTCCTCAGGCATCGCAGTCAGACGGGGCACACGGGGATGACACGACAACACAAATACTGACACTGTGCGAGAGATGCAAGTGAGGAAAGAACGTGGTGAAAGTGAAATCTGACGAGTTCTTTCAGTCCGTATTGGTCACCTCCTCACATCATTTTGTAGCACAGCAAGTGATAGCTCCATAAACATTTTAGTCCAGTGTTTCCCCCAGGATTTTTTTTCCTCTGGGGTGAAAAGGCCTCAAAATAGCATTCAGACCATTCGAACATGCGAGGAAGGCCCGTCAGAGTCGGAAACGCTGTTTCAGTCTGTTACCCCCTCCTAACAGATCAGACGGCGTGCTGCTGCGGGGCCAGTCTGCTACTGATGGCTTTTATGACATGTAGTGAAAGTTGAATCAAACTTGTTTAGTAAAAAGAAGTCCAGTCTAAGGACAATGCAAATCAACAGATCCACTGAGAACCCTGGTCCCTCTCCCAGTATAGACTGGAAACAAAGGTTTTTTTTTTTTTGGTATGGCAGACATGGAAATCCAAGAAACACGCCTAAAAACAGCCATTCTCAACCACGTTTCTGCACTTGTAAAGTGTCAAGAGTAAGAACAGCTCTGCCGGTAAGTGTTTAAGGCACTAATTGTTACCCAAGTGTGCAGAAAAGCAGAACTGTGAAGGCTAGAGGCTCATCCTGCCTCATTTGCTCGCTCCCATTATAACATTATGGCACGTGGTTGCAAATACTGCAGAAGAGCATTCATACAAAAACACTGACACAATTCCATCACTCAGCACACAACCAGACATTGATGGCATTAAAAAAAACAAGAAAATGTAGGGGCATGTGGGACAAAACACAGAGTCTTACAAACACTGTGAGAAAAGTTCCTTAACGCTTACATTTAAAAATGGCATTTGTGTTACAAAGGCAAACTACAAGATGAGGTTAAGCATTTTTGTTTTTGTTCACTGTTGTCAGCATTAATGATTTAAAAAAAATGAAACACTAACAGTGATGGAAACAATTATCACAGGTCTTTTCTTTTAATACTCGAGTCAGTGATAAAGGGAAGAAACCAAAAACATAAGACATGATCATTTCAAAAAGAAAAATCAACCATGAAAGGTTACGTTGATGAAAGATTTGGCCCCTCGCCTCATGTGAAGGCCAAATGACAGTGTTTATTCATAGTTAAGGCTTTTCAATGTTACAGACTGTCTGATGGCATCTACATAAAGCTTTCTTTGATTCAGTCCGGAGTAACCACATGCTTAAGTGTTTCAGAACATACTAGAGTATGTGTGAACCTCCACCTCTGCTGCTCTCCAGCATGAGCTGGGCCTGGGTAACAGTTGGCCCACATGCATGGAGAGGGGGGGGAAGGGTAGTGTAACATAAAATGTTATCATTTTTATGTCTGATAGTGTCATATTCTAGGCGCTACCTCTGAACAATGTCACTGATCTCTTTGACGGAGGACAGCAGCTTGCTGAAGTCCTGCTGTGCACTCGAGCCCCCCGTGGCATTGGGGCAGATCTGAAGCTCTCGCAAGCTGCTCTCAAGCTTGTTGATGGCCTCGCGAAAGGCAAACTTGTTCCTCATCTGCTGAATGGAGTCAACATAGCTCACGCAGTACTTTGACAGGTTCTTGCCGGCCTCCAGCACGGCGCTGTGGCTACCCGTTTGCTCGGAGTTGCGGGAAATGGCGGCGCGGAGCAGCTCGGTGCCCTCCAGCACCATTTCGCGTGTCACGGCTGAGTTTGGAGTGCGCTCGGAGGCCTGGCGGGGTGCAGTCTTGCGGAGGGAGGATCGGGTTTTCGCTAGAGGGGTGAATGCAGTAGGTGAATTTGGATCGTTGGGGGAGGTGAGGGGAGAAGACAAACCTCCAAGGCTCTGGCTGGAGGGGGAGCTGGTTACTGAAGTGGAAGAGGCGGAGGTCTTTAACGGTTGAGGTTTAGAGGTGGAGCCCAAGGGCAGCTTCTTGGAGGCCTCACTCAGGGGTAAGCGGGCTTGGTCACTGGGAGTGGCTGTGTGGTGGGGATCTGAGATGGAAGGGAGGCACTTAGCTTTGATTTCTAAAGCAGTCGGGGAGGGGAGCTCTTGAGTGGGGCTGCGGGAGACCTTGCCCGTTTTTGCATTAGTGGGTGGTGGAGGTGGGGCTGGCTTGGGTTTCTGTATTTTTACTCGATCCCTACTGGAGGAGAACTCCGTGTGCTTGTTTCTGCGAGCCCTGCATTCTTCTCCAGCTGCTCCCATAGGAGGGAACACATTGGGCTTCAGAAGCTCGGCATGCAGAGCGCTGGTCTTGGAGCTTTCTGGCCCTGACACACTGGGTCTCTTCACCACCTTAGGTGTCAAAGCCTTGGGACTGGAACCAGGACTGAGATCATTATCTCTGCCTAAGAAGGTGGATGAAATATCTGGAGATGTATTCAGGCGTGGTGGGGGAGTCAGGGTGCCCATCCGTGGCGCATTCTCTCCTTTCTGCTGCTTTCGTGGCAGAGCTGGCTTGCCCCCGACGGTGCCTGTGTCGAAGCGGCGATGGCTCAGATCTCGCGGCAGTGTGACAGACTTACATTCTGTGCCATCTGAGCCAGTGGGCATGGACCAGAAAAACCTAGAGTTAGAAAAGGGTTCCTCCTCACTAGGTGGAGTTGTTGCTCCCTTTCCACCTGGGCTAGTCACTACAAGAGGTAACTTCTTTCTAGGGCAAAAAGGTACTGGGTAGGTAGGAGCCCCATTAGTTATACCTGCTGCTCCATTATTATTCGTACTGTGGAGGCCATGTATGGCGTCATTAATGCCCAATGATGCCCCGTTGTTAAAGATGTCACTGTCTCGAGGATCTTGAGTAACGCACCTCCTGTCAGAGAGGCAGTCTCCTTTAAAAGAGGAGCTGCGTGTGGGAGGAGTTGGCGCACTCTTTTTCTTTTTCTTGATGAGGCTGAGAAAGCCACGCGTCTTGTCCTTGTCCTTGGGCAGCAAGCGATCGTCCTCATTCAGGTTGCTGTCCAGGGGGGGGCGCTCTTTCCTGGGGAGCATGGGTGACGACACAGCCCCCTCCGTTTCCAACAGATCTGTGGAAGAGCATAAAAGAACCAGGGGACTATCAGCAAAGGCAATCAAACAACTATAGATTTTTATTTGTACTTTTTTCTAAAAAAAAATTTTTTTTCAAGAAAGCGTAAAAGCAAGCTCCACCAGTGTGTCTGCCAAACATATTTAGAGCAATGTCAGGGCAAAGAGAAGGGCAGGACAGCAGATCATGTATAATTAAGTCCTCACAGCTGGAGAAAAAATGCTTTGGTGGGAACAATCCTTATTATGTGGTTACAGCCAAACAATTCAGTAAGAACTTGATCTTGCAGGTTGTCAAAAGCTCAGACCGTCTTTACTTCAAAGGGAAATTGGTGGTGAGACATTGTTTCATTTTACCCACAGAACGTTTTGTGGTCTTTAATTCTTACCGATTATTAAGATTATGAATGTGAGCATCAAATACTGCACTACTTATTTCAGGGTAATGTAAATAAAGTGTGAAGGTATATTTAACAACTAGCAATAAAGGCACCAGGCATACTCTTTAAGTTCATGTCACCTGGGCTCTCTGTATCTCGGCTGTCTATGTTGCTCTTGCGAGGTCTGGTCTTGGTGGGCAGCTCCGGAGCCTGCTGGATGGAGCCTAATGTCTTCTTTCCTTTCTTTCCCAACTCCTTTTCCACCTCTGAAATCACAAATACAAGAAGGTTTGGACATATTAGCAACAAACAACAGGCTTGAGTGTGTTTACATCAGAATATCTATGTAACACACTCAAGCCTGAGGAGTATCAGAACAGTTTGCCCCAAACTGAAGAGGTTTTAGACAGAAAAGAAATGGACACTGACCATCAGAGATGCTGGATTCCTGGAACATGGTCTCAAAGGCTTGGTGGGTTTCAGCAAAAGTTGGACGTTCTGAAGGGTTCCACTTCCAACCTGACAAAAAGAAAGGGAAAACAAAAAGTTATTCCAAAACAGAAGCGTGCCTTTAATCATGTTTTTACAAGATGGGTTGTGGTACTCACAGGCCATCATGAGCTCATAGACCTTCTCGGGGCAGCCCTCTGGTCGATCCATACGATAGTCTTTTTCTAACAGTTCATAGACCTGGGACAGGTCGATGCCAGGGTAAGGAGACATGCCATATGTGGCAATCTCCCACAGCAGCACACCAAATGCTGCAGGAACAAGTTGAACAAGACAATAAATCAAAAAAGAACAAAGTCAAAGACTACGAATTGAGATCACGTGAGGAATATGTGCAAATTAGAATGAGGGAAATTAAATTTGTTTCACATTGTTTAACAGCAGAGTAAAAGACAGGAGCTCACCCCAGACATCAGACTTAATCGAGAACTTGTTGTAAGCCAGACTCTCTGGAGCTGTCCACTTGATCGGGAACTTGGCCCCGGCATGAGCCGTGTAGGTATCTCCAATCATCAGCCTGCTCAGGCCAAAATCTGCAACCTTCACCAGGTGGTTCTCCCCAACGAGACAGTTACGGGCTGCCAAGTCCCTACAGAAGAAAAAGCAGTTATGAGAGGAAGTGATGAATGGGAAGCTGTATAGAAATGCTGACTTTGAAAATGAGAAATGAGAATTTATTAAGCTGATATGAACCCAAAAGAAAAGAAACAACAGAACAGCGGTGTGTTTTGTTAGAGAATCCTCTCAGGTGCCATATTTCTACAGATGAGTTGTGGGGTAAAAAAAAGAAAGAAAAAAAGAATAAATTTACAATTGCAAGCTGAGTCGTGTCAGGCTTAAAAATTAAAATCCAGTTTCACAAATATGTAAGTCATAAATCATATCATCGCTTCCAAAAGATACGGCTGGACGTGCCAGAACAAACAAGCTTTGCTACAACATCGACTTGTCTGTGATACAATGAGAGTGTGAGAGGAGCACTGCTCAGGAAGGAGAGGGGAGGAAAAAAAGAAAAATAAGAGAAAATGAGATATGAGGTCAAAGGTGTTTTTTGTCCCTTCCAGCTTAAAACTGAAGATGGGTAAAAAAACAAAAACAATAAAAAAACATCTGTCTTATAAACCCAGGACAGGTTAGCAAGTTTGCTTTTTAGGCCTTCAAACCCACCTGTGTATAAAGTTTTTTTTCTCCAGGTATTCCATGGCAGAGGAGATCTGTGTGGCCATGTGTAGCAGCACCACAGCATTGACCTCCTCTCTGTTGCACTCCCTCAGGTAGTCCAGCAGGTTACCGTGGGTCATGAACTCTGTGATGATGTAGAACGGGGGCTCCCGTGTGCACACGCCTGCCAAAAACACGAGTCCCGCAACACAAATCATCATCTCACAGCTTTTCTTGGGTGCAGTTTTTATTCCAGATGCAACCCCAAAGTGAACCATCTCTCCTCCTGGCTTGTTAGGCAAACACGTGTACTCATCTACACTATGGAGCCACTAAAAACAAAATACATCATTTCTAGCAGAAGATTTTGCGTACATGTGTTACATTTAAACAGTGTTTATGTAAAACCCCCACATTAAAGCAATGATTGTTGTTTTTAGTCACATACCTAACAGCTGCACCAGGTTAGGGTGTTTGATCTCTTTCATAACCGCAGCCTCCTTCAGAAACTCCTCCACCTCCATCGTATCCTCCTACACAGTTTATGGAAAGAAAGAAAAAAAGAAAGTGAGGACAGGAAAGGATGGCTGGGTGCAGTTGCATCTGTGCTACACCAGATGGTAGCATTATTCAGCCAAATTAAAACCATGGCTTGGAATGTTAATATGTAACACCAGTAGTTGTCAAAATGTTTCCACATGAGTAGGTCGATGCTAATCTTCTCTGTCTCCGTACCTTTAACGTCTTGACTGCCACGGTGAGGTTGTACTTCTTCCAAACGCCTTCGTACACTTCCCCATACTGGCCCCCTCCTAGTTTATGCTTCATAGTAATGTCAGTGCGCTCCATCTCCCACTTATCGTAGTTGGGAGAAACTCCATAGATGGTGGGCTTGTTACGCTTCGGCGCTGGGTAGTGCAGTGTCGTGATGAGGCCGTCGGCCACGGTGGAATGGTGGTGCACCAGCTCGGCCAGTGTGTTG